CCCAATTCAGATCCTCTTGCTCCTGTGAAAATCTACCTTTTTTGTGGCACTATACTCTTCCCGAACTCTCTTTAGCTCCCCTTTCCTGGATGTCCTGTGTTTATAGGACTGACCAGATATAAAAGTGTGCTCCACCAGTCTGTTCCTTTGTGCACTACTTCCAGGAAATAGGTGTCATGTACCTGCAATGAACACCGGTTGCTCATTCCAAGTATCAACTAGATTCAAATTGCATGGAGCCTATAGCCTGCCTCTGTAAAAGGTGGGAATTTGGGGGAATAGGGAACGGAATGAGCTCAGTTTCTGTGCCAATTTCTAGTATTACCATAGAAAGGATTAATGCTGTAATGTTCACAAATTCTAAAGACCAGAAGGGTCATCTAGTCAGACCTCCAGAATATCACCGGCCATAGAACTTCCCTGAAATAATTCCCGTTTGAGCTAGAACATCTCTTAGAAAAACATCCAATCTTGATTTAAAATTTGCCAATGACGAATAGTTCACCAGGATCCTTGGTAAATTGCTCCAGAGTTTAATTACCCTCACTGTGAAAAATTTTGCACCTTATTTCCAGTCTGAAAGGTTGTATGCTGTAGTACGCATTCATTGCAGAGTGTCAATCAGGGCCAAGTAACAAGGGATGCTATTACCATCGCAGTCTGACTGCTGTCCTTGGCAAGTGTTTTCACTGCATTCAATGAACAGCCCCAAACCCTTATAACGAGGAGGAAGTACTGTGGCTGACCCCTTCTGCAATCCATACTGACCATGTGTGCAGCGTGTTATGTCCAGAGTTGGTGGGTGGGAGGATATATCTGTGTGCCCATTACACCACAATGTTTCTGTGCAATTTCAAACATATTTATTACTAATGCAAATCTGCCAACATCCTCTAACAAAAACAGGACTGTGCAAATTTGCATATATTTGCATAAATTTAGATACAAGCCATCAGAAGCATGGGTTTATATTCAGGCTGTCCGAAAATTCCAAGGTGAGAAGATAGTGTAAGTCATTTGTAGAGAGCCATGTGTCACTATTTTCTCTTTTTCATGGTTGCAATTCTTAAAAAGAAGAAAAGGGGAATATTGACCCTTGAGCTGGCTGGGTTTTTGTTTGTTTTGATAATTGTTTTCTCATTAAAAAAGGGGGTTCAATAACAACATTTTTCTTGGAAAAATTTCTCTGTCAACATTTTTCAATGACATTCCAAACAAAGAATTTCAATAAACATTTTTTTAAATGTTTCAAAACTTTCATGTCAAAACCAGCAGGAAAATCCCACTCTGTCTTTCACTTTTTTGAAGTGGGAAGTAGAGGGGTATAAAAAGAGAGAAAGTGTGAAATGCAAGATTTCATGAACTTTTTAATTACATGAAAAATCTTGGGGGTTGGGGTCGGTGGGTTTCTTAATTTTCTATGAAATATACGTACGTCCTTGTAAACAAACTCTAATACCCCTTCGTTATTATTTCATCACTCAAAAAAATCCCAACAAATGTAGAAAATCAAGCCACTTTCAAAACTCTGTAGTGGTGCTTTCAGAAGATCTGGCAACATATTAATAGATGCTAGGACCACCAGCAATGAAAAAAAATGTTATCTCCTTTTATTTTCTCAAACATTTTTCTGTGCAGCTGCTGTGGATTTTGTCTGATGACAGAGAGCAAATTTAAGACCTGAATAAAATGAAATCCTAACTATGAGGAAAGCATCATTAGCAACAAGCTAAATATTTGCTTACATTTCTATCTCGCAAGGGAATCTGGGGAACCTGGATTTTGGATTATATAATGATGACAGAAGTCAAGTAAACAGAAGGTGACTTGGAGACATTTTAGTACCAGAGCTAATTCTTAACTCTCACAAATAACTTTCAAATTGCGTGCAAGCCCTCCATCAGGTCAAGTTCTGCCACCCTCATTGATGTTGCATAATATTTTAGCAGAGCAGTGTGACTGCTTGAAAAGTAAGGTAATTACTCAGTGTGAGTAAGGGTGGCAAAATGGAGCCCCAACTGAGCACCAAGCACATCAAAAGAAACAATAGATTGCTCCAGTTTCCCGGTAAACCTAGTCATCTGTTGTTACAGGGAAATACAACAGATTGGCAATCCGGCTAATGGACTTTTTGCAATTGGGAGGATAAGTCTCAGTATCTTTATATTTAAACACACATGCACAGGCAGGTCAAGTTTTCACTGAATCAAGGTACACTCTCTCTCAATGCTTGTTTAAATCATTGTCCTTCATAATTGCATCGCCATAACTTTATCACCCAAACATATGAATAAATATACCTGCTTTTATAAACCAGCCCCAGATGCATCATTTAAAATCAAGTTCCCTTCATCAGTAAATCTCTCTCCCAGCTTGTGCTGCAGCATGGAATATTAAGAAATTGGCTGAGGACCCAGCTGGAAATTCAGCAAGAAGCCAGCTGGTCAGCAGAAGCCCCTTTGCTTTTTTCAATTATTTTTTAGGCTGATTTGCACAATGCCAAGTCCCAGACAGGTGTTGGACAGACTGTGAAGTGGAAGTTTCATACTAGCAAGGAGCATGCATTTTTAATTATACCACAACCACTTATTAGTCATTTAATGAATCTTTTGGTCTTGGGCAGGGGAAGGGAGAGAAAAGAATTTCTTGAGGCCAAGAGCTTATAGAAATCCTCTGACTGTTGGCCTCAAAGCAATATGGATTTGAATACACTGGTATCTGTTGTATCTTCTCACTGAAACCAAGGCAATAGAAAAAATGTGATCAACATGCAGAGTTCCCTATGAGGTGGTACCTGTTTCACAGCTGAGACCCTCATGCTCTATAGGTAGCTGGTGAATCAAGAGGAAACATAAAACTACCCAAGGCAGTAAGAACTGTATTATGCTTATCCCACAAAGAAGTCACTCTTTCCATATCTTACTGGTAATTCTTACAATATTTGTTCTCTGTACTCCAAAATCTAGATGGGTGCATTGACCATAGAAAGGCACTGGGTGTAATTCTTTAGACAGGACTAGAGGATTCACTAAGATTTAAAATTCTTGTTTTCAATGCATGGTCTTTTTGCCTTTCAATTATTAAACAGGTGGAGGAGCAGCCAGGCCAAACCTGAGTGGCACTGTGACCTCAAGCGCCAGGTCGTAAGCGCCAATCTTTCAAATTTGGCTTGGTGCCATTCCCCTCCTGCTGTCATGATGGTGGGGCAGCTGGGCCAGACCTAAGAACTGCTGTGACCCTTCACACCAGTCACAACATATGGAGCAGGGAGCGAAGCTCAACCCCAGGGGGCAGGAGCCGCTGCTGCAGGGTGAGTTTATTAAAATCATGGAGACATATAGGAAAAGCACAGTATCCAAGAAATTTTCACCACTGTAATAAACCTGCATCCCTAATGGTAGTTAACGATACTATATGGTACTATATAGTCTTACGCTCCTGGAGGAACCATTGTAGGTGGACCCTGCTAGGGGGACAGTTCTTATTACCAGGGCCGGCTCCAGGCACCAGCTTCCCAAGCAGGTGCTTGGGGCGGCCACTTCGAAGAGGGGCGGCACGTCCAGTTGTTCGGCGGCAATTCGGCGGACAGTCCCTCACTCCTGCTCGGAGTGAAGGACCTCCCACTGAATTGCTGCCGCAGATTGCGATCGCGGCTTTTTTTGTTTGTTTGTTTGTTTGGCTGCTTGGGGCGGCCAAAACCCTGGAGCCGGCCCTGCTTATTACGAAACCAGCTCAGATAAACTCAATTGGTTGGCTCACTTTTGGACAGGCCAAGTAACTGACTTGCAAATTAGGCTTCAGGTGCACAGGTAGAGTTGAAGAAGGGAGTAGAAAGGGTTGCACAGAAATCGATGCAGTGTATTTGGTTCCATCTACAGTTCTTTAATAAGCACCAAATTTAGCAAAATTTAGCTGGGGATGGGAAATGTAGCAAATAGCAAATGCACACAGTACTTAGCAAACTTATTTTTATTGGGTGGCCATGCTCACTACTTCATTCTCTAGATAATCAAATGAAGAACAATGATTGTCTTGAGTCCTTGCTAGAGATCATTTAACCCATTTTCCCCCTTTGAGTGACCATGCAGAGGACAAGTACAATCATGATTACTTTTCCAAAAGTCTTTCAGGGTGTTTCCCTATTTTCAGGCTACTAAGCAGCATAATAAAGCAAGAACAGGAAACTGGTGATTGATTGGCTTTATGATCAAGATGCTTACACATCACTCAAACCAGCAAGGAACCATATTGAGGGGAAACAATATAATTATTATGGATATGGATGGGCAATGGCAAGCTGACGTGGCAGACAAGCACGATGGTGTATAATTTGTATATCTGTAGAGAGATAAATGTGCTGTCAATCTGGCTGGAGGTCAAAAGGACAAATCTGAATTTTTAAATGAAAAAATGTGTTTGAAAATGTTCATTTATGTTCTTTATTCTAATGCACTGATAGTACACACACCACTAGTCACTAGCAGAACAAAAGCCACCAGCAGGTGGCACCTAGATTGGTTTAAAGCAGTGATTCTCAACTGGTGGGTCACGACCCCCTGAAGCGGCTACGAAAGTGATCATGGTGCATTGAAAATTGTATTTCAACCTAAAGCAAAAAAAAAAATAAAACCCAAACCACCTCACTCCCCTTCTGCTGCCATGCACGCTTTCCCTTCAAGGTCAAGTACTCTCTGTCAACATCTCAAAACACAAACACAAATAAATTATATAGGCTTATTGTTATCACTGATATAATTTCTACTCTTACTCTTACAGTAAACTTAAGGTAGGGTCACAAAAATGTGGTCTTCAAATAAAGGGTGGCAAATCTGAAAAGGTTCAGAAACACTGGTTTAAGGTATATTGTCAAAATAAGAATCCATAATGACTACCCCTGAGTACAATTATGAAGGTGATATGCCAAATACTTTTGAGTTTTAGGTGTGGTGGGCTACATCTTAAAGACTGAGATCTGCTGCTCTAATGCAATCTTTGTATTACTGCAACATTATTTAGTGTATGTTCAAGCAACTGAATGTGTTTAAACTCCTCCATTTTCCACATCACTGTGTAATTAACTAACTTCAGTGATTACAATATATCAAAGAATATAATTGTAATCTTGTGACAGAGCTTATAGGAGGTGGATAGCAACTGAATAAATTTAAAATAAAGACATTTTGAACAGGAAAAAACTGCAATATGTTTAAAATCGGTGTAATATTTGATGTTATTGAAGAGATATTTTAGAGGAAGCTGCACCAAGATCTCTTATTAGCAAGCTGAAGCAACTTCATGTAATTTTTGGAGTCATTACCTAGTAAAATATATATATATTTTACACTCAACTATAGAATTACAGCAATTAGATATGGAAAAGGCCAATTAAATCTAACTTACTCCACCTGCTAATGAAAAGCATTTCACCACCTGTATATTATCCAGTACACTTAAAAGATCTTAAACCTTTCCCCACAAATATGACAGGGTATGACTAATGCAATCCTGCTTGCAATCAGCTGCTAGACTTTGCAGGATTTCCCCTTACCACTTCTATCCAACTCACAATACACTAAAAATAGCCTATGGTCAAGTTCCCCTTTTGGTATCGGAAAATGTTTTCCTATCAGTCTACAAGAGATGCCCTTAAAATTTTCTAATTGTCTTTGTAACTAATTTCCATTACTGAAGCATTCCTTAGGTATTCCATAAACTAAGTATAAGGAACTTTAGAGAATACTGCAATAATGTTATCTAGTTGCAAATGCAAAATTTAAATGTTTTAAGAGCAACTATGCACTGTCTCCCTCCGTGCCTATTTTTTTCCTGTATATATTTTAAGTGTACAGTACCTATTTCCTTTGTCTGTAGTTTACTTCTCTGTTCTATTAAGGAAGGTATTTGGTCTCTTGGGTGCAAACCAGAATTATGGTAACAATGTTTGTTTTTTCACAAATTAGTACAGTTTTATAATAAGCCATCAAAATCTGATCAGGGAACTCTTAGAAGTGGGAGTTAATTTTGAATCCATTTCAAAGCCATGAAAAACTCCTATAGAGATGAGAAATGGAATGCTTAGCTTTCCTTCCTCCTCCCCTCCCCCCTACAATGTTTTTCTTGTTCATGTTTAACAAAGAAGAACTAATTTCTTTCCCCCCTCCTATATCTAGAGTGCAGATCTAGACAGTGCCAAATTCAATCAAGAAAGCACTCTATAGCACAGCGTCCTGCTTGACAGATCCTAATACCTTCAGAAAGGCAGGAGCAAAAAGAGAATGAGGGGAGTTTAAAGAAAACTGTGTCAAGGAAAGAAGTCTGCTCTATTTTCAGATGGTCAGAACTGAATCTTGGGGGAGAAAAATCACAGGAAAACATTTTAGCCTGCTCTGTCTCATTTATGGGTCTCTCCCTATCAAGTGCTATCTACTCAGATTGACTTCAATGGGGTGGGGATGAGGATATGAGTTTCAAAAGAGGACACTCAGCACCTCGTAGGATCAGACCCTGCCTAATGTAATTAGAAAGCAAAAGAAAAGGCAGCTTTCTCTCTCACTGCCATTGTGTTTGTCAGGCTAACATCTAATGAATAGGATTCATTCATCTATAAATCTCCCAGAGATAAGCTTCTGCATAGCCAGGGAGGGCATATAAATCTGCCACTGCTGCCCTGCCCTAAGGTGAACAGACAGCAAATGTGAAAAATTGGGACAGGAGTGGGGGATAATCTAAGAAAAAGACCCAAAAATCGGGACTGTCCCTATAAAATTGGGACATCTTGTCAGCCTACCCACCCCCCAAATCACTTGTGTAAATCACCCTGAAAAAGAAAAAAAGGCAAGATACAACTGATTATTCACAAACAAACAGCTTTGAAAGGTCGTAGACTTAGCAGGGGTGGGGGAGGAGGCAGTGCTGCAGCAGGGTTCTGTCTTACCGCATGACAAAATCTGCTTGATCTATTTGTCTGCCACAGCCACTCTTCTTCAGAATCCCACCATTTCCCACCACGGAGCATTTCTTCAATGGGAGCTGGAATGGGGTAGCCTAGCAACAGAAAACAAGGCCAGTTTTTACAGAGGAGAACACACAATCTTTGTTTGTAGCAGCCACTCCTGAGGCCTATCGGGAATTAGGGAGGGGTTAGGTCTTGGGATAGGGACAAGAAAAGGGGAAAGAGGAGGGCGAATTAAGCTTGGAAATTAGTCCAAAGTATGAGCAGTCTGATTCCCACCCCCATTCCCAAAAGCAGACTTCATCAATATCCAGCACTAGGATAATGTAGTTATTATATGAAGCAGAATTTCCGAGTTACGAATTCCTGGTGTCCACAAAAAGTTGTGCAATGGGATGTATTTTCTATTCAAATTACCAGGGCAGAGTACAATAGAAGGAACACAAAAAAATATGAGAGAGACAAGGTGGGTGAGGTAATATATTTTATCAGCCAACTTCAGTTGGTGGAAGAGACAAGTTTTTGAGCTTCATGGAGCTCTTCTTCAGGTTTGGAAAAGTTAACAAGAGTGTCATAGCTATATACAAGGTGGGACCGATTGTTAAGCATAAGGGTTTAACACAGGTTGCAAGAAACCACTTAAACAAAGTGGGCAATTAACACCTCTGCAATCATAAGATAAAGAAGGGTTAAGTAGGTTGCAAATTGTTGTAATGAGCCATAAAACCAGTGTCTTTGTTGTTACCATGATTTTTAGTGTCTAGCAGAATTATGAGTTTAAATTCCCAAACTTGTCTTTTGAAGGAGTTGGGCAGGTTTCCTGTAAGGATGAGGACTGAGAGGTCAGATATGGAGTGATCGCTTTGCAAAAAATGTTTGCCCGTGGATGAGAGGGTGTTTTTCTCTTTTATTTTTCTGTGGGCGTTCATTTGAGAGCATAGTGATTGTCTGGTTTCACCTACATAGTTGTTGTTGGGGCCTTAGATGCACTGGATGAAGTACACCGCATGCTGTGATAAGCATGTGTAGGACCCATGGATCTTGAAAGGTTGTCTCTTCCACCAACAGAAGTTGGTCCAATCAAAGATATTACCTCACCCACCTTGTCTCTCATATCCTGGGACCAACACATTTACAACACTACAAACCAAATAATATTAAAGGCACCTTCATGAGATTATACACAAAAGACACATGGGGGGAAAGGAATAAATGAGGAAGAAGTGTAGTTAGAGCAGGGAACTGGCAGCCAGGGCTCCTCCTAAATTCAATTCCTGGCCTTAGCACTGATCATTCTGTGGTCTCAGGCAAGATATTTAGGGGTTGACTGCAGCTCCCTAAAAGCTGAGCCAATCAATCCTGGCATAAATTAAAACTGCGGAGGAACAGCCTTTATTTACCACTGGTTTAAGATCCCTCCTAGCACTTTAACAGTGGATCACAATGCAGAGTCAAGGTATCATGACGATGCTATGTGTTAACATTGCAGCAGTGCATGACAATAACATAGTACATATAGACTAGTAGCTGAAAGTGCTCTCACATGGGTGTAATTCTTAAAGTCATGTGTGTGCAAAAGCCAAACATGGGGGCATGCATGGTGTTCTAGTGAGCAACGTTGCTGTGGGAACATGTTCCCCAAATTTTTTTGCACAGAGCTGCCCCCTGGCTGGAGGCACAACCACCTGTTTGTTACCCATGCAACTGTTACTCCCACTTCCTCTGATCAGCTGTCATGTTCCAACTGCCATGTAACCTTCGGATGCCAACATTCCATCTGGTTCTCACAGGGCCCAGTGATGACTGAACCTGAGCTATTCTGAACAAAACCAAGCTTGTAGTTGTTTCATGCTGACTCAAAAGACATTCTAGGCTTCAGAGTGACATACAGAGTAACAATCCTGGAATCTTATTACATATTTCCTTTCATTCAGAAGGAAACTAAACTACATGTAGAAGAGATCTTTCATCTGCCTCTGAAATACATCCACCTGTGGGATCAGTTGTGATAGTCGTTTAAACAGCACACAGTAGCACTATCAATCAGTTTAGCACAGGAAATAAAAAATACTGCATTGAATTGAAAATACCTGGGGAATTCAAAGTAGGTAGGATGAAGTTACCATTAATAGAATTGGTCCAGAAAACTTGGGTTAATATTCACATAAAAACAATGTGCAAGGATTTTTATCTACCAAAGTTGTCAGAACCTCACTCTACAATAAAGACAGAATCATTCTATGCATCATCCTATGTGAATGCAAATGTCATGGTGCTGTGATGGAGCTTCACAAGACAATTATTCTTCCCTTCAGGACAAATCAAAATGGTGGCAGTACTTATACTTGCCTAAGTATTGGAGGGGATGTATAGTGCAACATTATGCATTGTGCTAATATCTCCATAATGCACACACCAGGCATAACAGTATAGTGAAGTACAGAGAACCAACCCAGAGTCTCGGTCTGAATTATGAATGTGTCAGGCTTTTATGTTTTAAAACCATTATTTAGTTTCTTTCCTGCAATTAGCATTTTTCCCCTCAGCAAACTGGATTCTATTCAGCTGGTTATAAAGCCATCGCCTACTTTTTAATGAAGGATATCAAAATGATTTGTGTATGTTAATCCTGGATTACAATATGTTAAGGAAGAAAAATCTGTTTTGGTTTACTGATGTCTGGCTACTGCTAGGAACACAGTGATAGCACAGAGAAGTGACACTAAGTATGCAACCATGTTCTTGCTTGTGCATCTGCTTTCTCAAGAACATTTTTTAATTTACACATTTATTGAACTAGGAATGTATCTCACTTCAAAGGTGACCCTGACCAAATGACATCCTGCAGGCTGATTGAAAAAACATGTATAGAAATTTAGAATTGAAATTGTTAGTTTTATTTAAATAGCAGTGCCTTTCTTACTCAAGTAATTACTTAATTTAAGCTACAACATAAAGATCAAAACAACAGTTCCTAGTCCAGTCCCAAGGGGTAGTCCAGTAAAAGGGTATACAGGTCAGAGCCTCCTTTCAACCCTTCCACTGCACCATCTTACTTGCAGGCTGCTTCCTGCATCCTTCTGCTCCAGCTACCACTGGCCCCTTGTCAGCAACAGGATGAGTCTCTGTCCAGCTCTCAGGCCACCTTCTACCAGTCAGCTGCCTCTATTTGACTGCTCCTGTTCTCATGCAACCTTCAACAACCTCATCAGCTTGGTCTCCCCTCACCTAAAACTGTTCTTTTTCCTCTCCTGGAGGGATTAGAGAGCCCTCTCCCAGCTGGACACTGAACTGGGTAATCCACTAGGTCCAGTCCAATAGCTTCAAGCACTACACCTGCCCTATGTCAATGTTTGTGTTTTTACAATCATGTTTTCCTAATTTTGATAAATGTTTTTACCTCCCTTTGTTGCCGCATGAAAGACCCACACAAACAGCAGGGGAAATTGACTAGAGCCCCAATTCTGTAACAGATCCCACCAAATCAACAGATTTATTGGAGCTCCGTGGGGGCACATGGGTCAGCTAAAAAGAAAAAATCATGATTTTTATGCCAATCTCATGATTTTTTAATGCTCAGAGTCAACAATACTAAGGGTGCACAGTGAAAATGGAAATACAAATGGCCATGGATTTAAATTAATTTAAATTAACACCCGTCATAGTAATCTCCGGTGTTACTTGTAACTTTGGTAGATAACAAAAATTTAAACAGAATGTTGATATTTAAGTTGATGGTGTCCCTTTAAAGGGAAAATGACAAGTAGAACCTATGTAGTGTAGTTCTAGCTGTATCAGTCTCAGGACCAACTTTATTGGACCAACTTCTATGGGTGAGAGTGAGACAAGCTTTTGAGCCACACAGAGCTCTTCTTCGGGTCTGGGAAAAGTACTACGAGCGTACCTTTCCCAGACCTGAAGAAGAGCTCTGTGTGGCTCAAAGCTGGTTTCTCTCACCAACAGAAGTTGGTTCAATGAAAGATATTACCTCACCAACCTTGTCTTTCAAATAGAACATGTTTGTTTGTTTTAAATTCCAAATCTATTTTGCTAACAGCACCAAACACATTAACAACAAACCCCACAGAAATTAAAAACAAAAACAAAAAACACCACATGGATTTCCACCATTTATCCTCCATTTTACTTGTTGCAGTTCACTCATGGAGATAGCAAAACTTGACTGCTCAGTTCTCAGCCAATTTCACTTAAGTTCTCATGTACTAGGGAGCCTGATTTTCAGAAGTGTTGAGCTCTCACAACTACAGTTTAAGTCAATAGGAGCTCTGTGTACTTAGAACATCTAAAAAATCAGCCCTTAGTTGCTCTTTGTTTTGGGTATCCAAAAGGCCAAGGGATAAGCTTCATTTTAAATGTACAGTTAAAAAATCATGAAAGCACTCATATTAATATTACTCTTCTAAAAACTCTCATTTAATTTTTGTAAACTAACAAAACCTCAATGTTGGGACTAACCTATCGGACTTCCCTTTAAACAAGGTATCCATAGTAGAAAAAATATATTTGACATCAGAAACACAGAAGGCCTGGTCTTTCCCACTGGTTCAAAACCAATGGAATCAGTGAAGTTTCTCTGATTTACCCTAGAGTAAGCGTGAGAAAAATCAGGTCCAGAATGTCTAATGACAAGCAAGCACACAAAACAGTTCATTAAGAGACTCCCATTCAATCTGGGGCTAATTTCACAAAGCCTCTATCCAGCAATTCACCAATTAGTTTCTTCAGTCATCTAGCAAAAATAAATCATTGTCATCCATTTAAAGAATTATGATAAAATCCAGAGAATGTTACACACTACTAAGGAAATAGAATTCATATTAGATAATGCTAGTCCAATTCACTTCAGTTTCATTGTTATTTTGTTAAAACATTAATTTTTGTCCACTCACTGATAAAGACTTTACCCAGCAGCCCGAGCCTTGCTGGGAAACTAAGAAATACTAACATATTATGCAAATTTTCTGTCTTAACAGGGAAGAAGTTAAAAGTATCGGGAACATAATGACAATAGAAAGGGTTTCTTTTCAATAAACATGGTTATAGAATTTACAAATGATGCTGCATTTTACTC